CACTATGGCTTTGAGTATATGTCGAGGTAGTTTTTTTTTCTTTTGCGAAGCTGTCACTAAGGTCACTGTTTTAGAACTTAAGGTGACCTAAAATATTTTTACTTTTGCAATAATCTCAAGTGTTGGTCGATCATTTCTTTTTGCAAACATTGTTGGGCTTCATCCCAGGGACCCATACAGCCACGTAAAGATAATATCCCTGAGACGAATGGAGTGATTTCGGTTAGGCGTTTGGATCAAGTGACCCAAGGACTAAATATGTTGCTATAACGTAATGGTTAATTATGAAGTTAACTTGAAATTTAATTTTTGACTAAACACATAATTAATCTGTCGTTCACACGACTAAGTAACATTGTTATCGACAGATAAACCTTTGGCTGATAAGGTATGGTATGTTTAATTGATTTCTATTTTTTTGTTCCCTGAAATTCTCTTTGTGTTTAATGACACGGGTGGCAACATCTGCTGTTTAAAAGTAAAACAAACGACCGATCTGTGGTAGTTTAAGTGGAGACCATGATATATGTATTCAGTGAACTGTTGATTACAAGTTGAGACCGAAGTTAAGTGTGAATGTTGGTATTCATGCCACAAGAGAACCAAGGTTTCGAAAATTGAAACAGTGTTGGTATGTACACACTCTACACGTTGTCATCTTAATTGTACACGTTGCATTTACTCTTCCTATTGTCATATTTACTGTCCCTGTTGTCATATTTACTGTCCTTGTTGTCATATTTACTGTCCTTGTTGTCATATTTACTGTCCCTGTTGTCATATTTACTGACCCTGTTGTCATATTTACTGTCCTTGTTGTCATATTTACTGCGTGCGTTGTCATGCTTACTGTACATGTTGTCATATCAATTGAACACGTCACATTTACTGTACAAGTTACCATATTTACTGTACAAGTAACCATTTCTACGGTACAAGTTACCATATTTCCTGTACAAGTAACCATTTCTACGGTACAAGTTACCATATTTCCTGTACAAATTATCATATTTCCTGTACAAGTTACCATATTTCCTGTACAAGTTACCATATTTCCTGTACAAGTTACCATATTTCCTGTTCAAGTTACCATATTTCCTGTACAAGTTACCATATTTCCTGTACAAGTTACCATATCTACTGTACAAGTTACCATATTTCCTGTACAAGTAACCATTTCTACGGTACAAGTTACCATATTTCCTGTACAAATTATCATATTTTTCTGTACAAGTTACCATATTTCCTGTACAAGTTATCATATTTCCTGTACAAGTTACCATATTTACTGTACAGGTTACCATATCTACGGTACAAGTTACCTTATCTACTGTACAAGTTACCATATTTCCTGTACAAATTATCATATTTCCTGTACAAGTTACCATATTTCCTGTACAAGTTACCTTATCTACTGTACAAGTTACCATATTTCCTGTACAAGTTACCATATTTACTGTACAAGTTACCATATCTCCTGTACAAGTTACCATTTCTACGGTACAAGTTACCTTATCTACTGTACAATTACCATATTTCCTGTACAAGTTACCATATTTCCTGTACAAGTTTCCATATTTCTTGTTCAAGTTACCATATTTCCTGTTCAAGTTACCATATTTTCTGTACAAGTTACCATATTTCCTGTACAAGTTACCATATTTACTGTACAAATTATCATATTTACTGCACAAGTTACTATATTTGCTGTACAAGTTACCATATCTACTGTACAAGTTACCATATTTCCTGTCAAGTTACCATATTTCCTGTTTAAGTTACCATATTTCCTGTACAAGTTACCATATTTACTGTACAAGTTACCATATCTACGGTACAAGCTACCTTATCTACTGTACAAGTTACCATATTTCCTGTACAAATTATCATATTTCCTGTACAAGTTACCATATTTCCTGTTCAAGTTACCATATTTTCTGTACAAGTTACCATATTTCTTGTACAAGTTACCATATTTACTGTACAAATTATCATATTTACTGCACAAGTTACTATATTTGCTGTATAAGTTACCATATCTACTGTACAAGTTACCATATTTCCTGTTTAAAGTACCATATTTCCTGTACAAGTTACCATATCTACTGTACAAGTTACCATATTTCCTGTTCAAGTTACCATATTTCCTGTACAAGTTACCATATTTCCTGTACAAGTTACCATTTCTACGGTACAAGTTACCTTATCTACTGTACAAGTTACCATATTTCCTGTACAAGTAACCATATTTACTGTACAAGTTACCATATCTACGGTACAAGTTACCTTATCTACTCTACAAGTTACCATATTTCCTGTACAAATTATCATATTTCCTGTACAAGTTACCATATTTCCTGTACAAATTATCATATTTCCTGTACATGTTACTATATTTACTGTACAAGTTACCATATCTACGGTACAAGTTACCTTATCTACTGTACAAGTTACCATATTTCCTGTACAAATTATCATATTTCCTGTACAAGTTACCATATTTCCTGTTCAAGTTACCATATTTTCTGTACAAGTTACCATATTTCTTGTACAAGTTACCATATTTACTGTACAAATTATCATATTTACTGCACAAGTTACTATATTTGCTGTACAAGTTACCATATCTACTGTACAAGTTACCATATTTCCTGTCAAGTTACCATATTTCCTGTTTAAAGTACCATATTTCCTGTACAAGTTACCATATTTCCTGTACAAGTTACCATATTTCCTGTTCAAGTTACCATATTTCCTGTACAAGTTACCATATCTACTGTACAAGTTACCATATCTACTGTACAAGTTACCATATTTCTTGTACAAGTTACCATTTCTACGGTACAAATTATCATATTTCCTGTACATGTTACCATATTTCCTGTACAAGTTACCATTTCTACGGTACAAGTTACCTTATCTACTGTACAAGTTACCATATTTCCTGTACAAGTTACCATATTTCTTTTATAGGTTACTATATTTCCTGTACAAGTTACCATATTTCCTGTACAAGTTACCATTTCTACGGTACAAGTTACCTTATCTACTGTACAAGTTACCATATTTCCTGTACAAGTTACCATATTTCCTGTACAAGTTACCATTTCTACGGTACAAGTTACCTTATCTACTGTACAAGTTACCATATTTACTGTACAAGTTACCATATCTACGGTACAAGTTACCTTATCTACTGTACAAGTTACCATATTTACTGTACAAATTATCATATTTACTGTACAAGTTACCATATTTACTGCACAAGTTACTATATTTCCTGTACAAGTTACCATATCTACTGTACAAGTTACCATATTTCCTGTACAAATTACCATATTTCCTGTACAAGTTACCGTATTTCCTGTACAAGTTACCATATTTCCTGTACAAGTTACCTTATTTCCTGTACAAGTTACCATGTCTACTGTACATGTTGCCATATTTACTGTACAAGTTACCATGTCTACTTTACATGTTGCCATGTCTACTGTACATGTTGCCATACACTATATATGGTATTATATTTACGTATGATACAAATATGTATTTAATGTATACACTGTAACATTTGATGTGCAGTTATATTTACAGTACACGTCATATTTACTAGGCTCGTTGTCATAACGACCATCAAAATCAATCTAACGCTTAAACATATACATATATAACGTTATTGAGAAGTATGTGTTTTGTACAAATATGAATCACTGGTGAGGGTGTGTGTTACCTAACATTGATCAAGGTACGAACAATGATTAAACAGGTGCAGCTTGTTACTAGAAGCACTTAGTTACCCGTATTCAAGTGTGCAGCTATGTCTCAGTTTTCCGGTATTGTCGCCTCATTAGCTGGGTACAATACTACAAGTATATGATTGGTAAAACCACCCATTTATAGTTTCAAGTAGTAAAATAACAAAGTTATGCATTTTAGGTTCTTAACAGCTGAACATAAATGATTTGTATTTTGTTTCTCGTTGGGGACATACATAAACAACAATGATTTGTATTTTGTTTCTTGTTGGGGACATACATAAACATCAATAATTTGCATTTTGTTGGGGACATACATAAACATCAATAATTTGTATTTTGTTGGGGACATACATACAACATCAATAATTTGTATTTTGTTGGGGACATACATACAACATCAATAATTTGTATTTTGTTGGGGACATACATACAACATCAATGATTTGTATTTTGTTGGGGACATACATAAACATCAATAATTTGTATTTTGTTGGGGACATACATAAACATCAATAATTTGTATTTTGTTGGGGACATACATAAACATCAATAATTTGTATTTTGTTGGGGACATACATAAACATCAATAATTTGTATTTTGTTGGGGACATACATAAACATCAATGATTTGTATTTTGTTGGGGACATACATAAACATCAATGATTTGTATTTTGTTGGGGACATACATAAACATCAATAATTTGTATTTTGTTGGGGACATACATAAACATCAATAATTTGTATTTTGTTGGGGACATACATAAACATCAATAATTTGTATTTTGTTGGGGACATACATAAACATCAATGATTTGTATTTTGTTGGGGACATACATAAACATCAATGATTTGTATTTTGTTGGGGACATACATAAACATCAATAATTTGTATTTTGTTTTTTGTTATAGTGCAACATGTAATAAAATATATAAAGAATAAAGAAAAGAAAGAAAGAAAAAAAATAACTGCGCATAGTATGCAAGCATTCATGCTTATCACCAGTATGGAAAAATCTATATCATCGATGTTGTGTGTTTGTTTGAATCTCTATTAAATGTTATGTAAAAGATTTAGGTAAAGCATATACACCCCATTTGAGACACATATATTATAATTTCGATGTCCGTTTTCTTTATATATGTTATTGTAATTTGGTGTGTACTAATGTCTACATTGTACCGAGTACATGTACATTGATCAATTCTTACTTTTTCTTGACAGACAAAAAACTGAAGCGATAATGGTTTACGAGACACCCCGATCGTCCCGTTCGGAATCCCCCGTAGCCCCTTACCCCGGGTTCGATTTCGAAGGGAATCGTGTCTTCCCATCTCCGATACCCAGAGTGACATGGCAGGGAGAGCCAAATGCAATGAAAAACCGCGGCACCGTTGGAAAATGGGTGTTTGATTACTACGCTGGAAAATACGACTCGCCTCGGCCGGAACCAAGATGTCCTACACCGGCAGCTAAAGAGAACCATGAGCACGGCCGGAACGGGACGGTCGCGCGGCTATTGAGAGATTCAAACACAGCACGACCATCCACTGCTCCTCCAAGGATCAAATCCGAGGCGGAACCTATTGCAAGCCTTAGTCGTGGTAAACGCATGAAAGTAATCGTACAAAAATATGCTCAGTCGGCACCCAGTCCCAGAGTTCCAAGAGTCAAACCGGAAGCGGAAGATAATGCACAGGTTCATAAAGGGGGGAGAATGAACAAACTTGTTCATAGTTATGGATGCATTCCTCCGTCCCCTCGACCTGTTCCTAGAGTAAAATCAGAGGCTGAAGGTATTTCAGATCTTAGCAAGGGAAAGAGAATGAAAACAATCGTGCATGCACATGGTCAACAACCGGTAAGTTCACGCGAAAAAGCAGTACCACGGGTGAAACCGGAAGGGGAAGACAATGCAGAATTGGACCGTGGAAAACGAATGGATAGGATTGTTCACGACTATGGGCGTAGCCTGCCAGACCGTGACATACCAAGGGTGAAACAAGAGGGAGATCCAAACTACAAACTAGATATGGGTAAACGTATGAGTACTTTATTACATGACGTAACGAAATACCCTGCGTCTCCGTGTCATGTACCACGTGTTCGATCTAACGAGGCATCAACCATCTTACGTAAAAGCCGTGGTCAAATGGGACATGTCCTACGACAGGCAGGTCAACGCACGTGCGTTCACAAACCTGGCATACAAAAACACATATACGACAGACCAAATTCTAATATGATGTAATCGGTCAACACTGTATTTGGTGTAGTACATAGTGCACGTACGCGTTCGGGGGAGATAATCGCATGTCACGTGTGGATGTAAAATCAGTATTTACTTGTGTAATCGAATTTCAAAATAAGTACACGTGTAAGATATGTTGAGTGTTTGTCCCCTGACTTCATCGCCACATCAGAAATAGTACTCCACCATGATTTTGAAGCTAGTGGATATCACTTTTTTTCCTGACCGAATAATAATTCGGCTGACAGGTTGTTTGGTAAGGTACGATCAGACCATTGTATACCGCAGTGCTTTATAACCAACAGAACACACTCCCTCGATAGGCGAGTACAACGATACTCAGCGATAAGTTTATATTTACCGACTTCTGCACTATATTAATCACTCTTGTTTGTCCGACTACAAGCGCACGGGGGTCTTACTGTGGGAGGAAACCGGAGCACCAGGGTAAAACACACGTTGTCCCCGTACCTTTTCAATTCCTTCCCGGGAATCGAACCCCGGACGGCTAGGTAAAAGGCGAGTGTGTCACTACTGCGCCATCCGACCACTGCTCTACAAGGATGGTATAATACTCTATTACTGGTACTGGGCTATGAATATACTTTTTTAATAACATTTAATAATATTTATTTTTAACTTATACAAAACTGTGAATCTAATGTACATGTTTATGTTATTTATTGAATATTATCTAGTTGAGGTCAGAGTTAAGCATGACCGTTATTTATATCTGTGTTAACATATCTTCAATTTTAATACTAATTCATTTATTGAAAAATAATGTTTCCAGGTGTTAGGCATCAATATATATATACATGCATGATAGTATGTCATAGTTCATTAAACATTATCTTATCAATTATGTCGATATCGTTACATTTCAAATCATGTAAATAAATCACAGTTACATTTTGTGATAACCAAAGTATTGCTGAAGGTATGTTACTCTGGAAAAAACGTCTATACAGAAAGCTTGCGTTCCAAACTGAATATTTGAAGAACATATATGTTTATTGATAGGAAGACTCTGTAGTTACACGGTTGGTTTTGCTTTCAAACGCAGCACATAAACTATAAAACGCCAGAGCAGTCTTGTGAGTTCATTATTGAATATGGTGCTTAGGTGGTATATACCACGAGGTCACGTGTCACTATCTGCATAAATACAAACATCGCAATATTTGATCGACATCATTCACATTCTAAACTTGTGTGTAACAGACAAGCTGATAATTTCTCAATCTACTTCATATTTTAGTCTGAAAGACTAGAGGGTTTATTCGAATCTGTATTTTGAAACATTCACACACTTCGCAAGCAGGACATACCTGTCGTTAGAGTTTCATTGTAAGTGGTGTGACGAATGAGTATTGTATGATTGTTGGAGATAAATAAGGTTTTCTAACTAATTCGTGCTATTTTTATGATCAGTTTTTGTAACCATGTAGACTGGTATTTGTGTTTAAATCCCTTAAGTTGATCACGTAACTGCCATTTATTAGAGCTGAAATTTGTACATGAATGTTAATCCATTATAAGCAGCTCAGTATTCACATTATTGCTAAATATTACAGACCCACGGCGTATTTTCTTCCTGCAGGGAACTACGCAATCCTTTCGATAGATCAGTGTATAAATATATACATGGGCGTGACTATGGGTCTTTTCCCGGCGGTTCAATCGGGACGCAGCAATCAAAACCACATTACCTGAGAGGGGTGTGACAGTCCCCATCCGACGGTCTGGTAGGGTGTGACAGTCCCCATCAGACAGTCTGATAGGGTGTGACAGTCCCCATCCGATGGACTGGTAGGGGCGTGACAGTCCCCATCCGACAGTCTGATAGGGTGTGACAGTCCCCATCCGATAGACTGGTAGGGGCGTGACAGTCCCCATCCGACAGTCTGATAGGGTGTGACAGTCCCCATCCGACAGTCTGATAGGGTGTGACAGTCCCCATCCGACGGTTTGGTAGGGTGTGACAGTCGCCATCCGACGATCTGGTAGGGGTGTGACAGTCCCCATCCGACAGTCTGGTAGGGTGTGACAGTCCCCATCCAATGGACTGACAGGAGCGTGACAGTCCCCATCTGATGGACTGGTAGGGGCGTGACAGTCCCCATCCGACAGTCTGATAGGGTGTGACAGTCCCCATCCGACGGTCTGGTAGGGTGTGACAGTCCCCATCCGCCGGTCTGGTAGGGGTGTGACAGTCGCCATCCGACGGTCTGGTAGGGTGTGACAGTCCCCATCCGACAGTCTGGTAGGGTGTGACAGTCCCCATCCAATGGACTGGCAGGAGCGTGATAGTCCCCATCCGACAGTCTGGTAGGGTATGACAGTCCCCATCCGACAGTCTGGTAGGATGTGACAGTCCCCATCCGACGGTCTGGTAGGGGTGTGACAGTCGCCATCCGACGGTCTGGTAGGGTGTGACAGTCCCCATCCGACAGTCTGGTAGGGTGTGACAGTCCCCATCCAATGGACTGGTAGGAGCGTGATAGTCCCCATCCGACAGTCTGGTAGGGTATGACAGTCGCCATCCGACGGTCTGGTAGGGTGTGACAGTCCCCATCCGACAGTCTGGTAGGGTGTGACAGTCCCCATCCAATGGACTGGTAGGGGTGTGACAGTCGCCATTCGACGGTCTGGTAGGGGTGTGACAGTCCCCATCCGACAGTCTGGTAGGGTATGACAGCCCCCATCCAATGGACTGGTAGGGTCGTGACAGTTCCCATCCAATGGACTGGTAGGGGCGTGACAGTCCCCATCCGACGGTCTGGTAGGGTGTGACAGTCCCCATCCGACAGTCTGATAGGGTGTGACAGTCCCCATCCAATGGACTGGTAGGAGCGTGATAGTCCCCATCCGACAGTCTGGTAGGGTATGACAGTCCCCATCCGACGGTCTGGTAGGGGTGTGACAGTCGCCATCCGACGGTCTGGTAGGGGTGTGACAGTCCCCATCCGACAGTCTGGTAGGGTATGACAGTCCCCATCCAATGGACTGGTAGGGTCGTGACAGTTCCCATCCAATGGACTGGTAGGGGCGTGACAGTCCCCATCCGACGGTCTGGTAGGATGTGAGTCCCCATCCGACAGTCTGATAGGGTGTGACAGTCCCCATCCAATGGACTGGTAGGGGTGTGACAGTCGCCATCCGACGGTCTGGTAGGGGTGTGACAGTCCCCATCCGACAGTCTGGTAGGGTATGACAGTCCCCATCCAATGGACTGGTAGGGTCGTGACAGTTCCCATCCAATGGACTGGTAGGGGCGTGACAGTCCCCATCCGACGGTCTGGTAGGGTGTGACAGTCCCCATCCGACAGTCTGATAGGGTGTGACAGTCCCCATCCAATGGACTGGTAGGAGCGTGATAGTCCCCATCTGGTAGGGTATGACAGTCCCCATCCGACGGTCTGGTAGGGGTGTGACAGTCGCCATCCGACGGTCTGGTAGGGGTGTGACAGTCCCCATCCGACAGTCTGGTAGGGTATGACAGTTCCCATCCAATGGACTGGTAGGAGCGTGATAGTTCCCATCCAATGGACTGGTAGGAGCGTCATAGTCCCCATCCGACGATCTGTTAGGGTGTGACAGTCCCCATCCGACAGTCCGGTAGGGTGTGACAGTCCCCATCCAATGGACTGGTAGGGGTGTGACAGTCGCCATCCGACGGTCTGGTAGGGGTGTGACAGTCCCCATCCGACAGTCTGGTAGGGGTGTGACAGTCGCCATCCGACGGTCTGGTAGGGGTGTGACAGTCCCCATCCGACAGTCTGGTAGGGTATGACAGTCCCCATCCAATGGACTGGTAGGGTCGTGACAGTTCCCATCCAATGGACTGGTAGGGGCGTGACAGTCCCCATCCGACGGTCTGGTAGGGTGTGACAGTCCCCATCCGACAGTCTGATAGGGTGTGACAGTCCCCATCCAATGGACTGGTAGGAGCGTGATAGTCCCCATCCGACAGTCTGGTAGGGTATGACAGTCCCCATCCAATGGACTGGTAGGGTCGTGACAGTTCCCATCCAATGGACTGGTAGGAGCGTGATAGTCCCCATCCGACGATCTGGTAGGGGTGTGACAGTCCCCATCCGACGGTCTGATAGGGTGTGACAGTCCCCATCCGACGGTCTGGTAGGGGTGTGACAGTCCCCATCCGACGGTCTGGTAGGGGTGTGACAGTCCCCATCCGACAGTCTGGTAGGGTCGTGACAGTTCCCTTCCGATGGACTGGTAGGGGTGTGACAGTCCCCTTCCGACGGTCATATAGGGTGTGACAGTCCCCATCCGACAGTCTGATAGGTTGTGACAGTCCCCATCCGAAGGACTTGTAGGGATGTGACAGTCCCCATCCGATGAACTGGTAGGGTCGTGACAGTCCCCATCCGACAGACTGGTAGGAGCGTGACAGTCTTCACCAACGGTTTGGCAGGGACATAGTAGTCTTCACACACGGTCTGACGGGAGAGACACAGGTTCGGATAGTCCTCACGCTGATAACAGCATTTAAAACCAAGAGCTGTCCAAAGCTATACAGTGTTAAACAACTATACACGGCTGTATACTTATAACTATGATGATATAGTGTTGCCTGTTATAATGTTTAACTGACAAGCTGTCTTACATTGCTGTTAGAATTAAATATTTTGAAACAATCAAGTACCGTGTTTTGTGATGTACCTTTTGTTTACATGTCCGACATCAAACACAGCTTTGAATTGGAATTTTCTTTATACATGAAAATGTATTATATATTGTAATAAAGTGTTAGACCATTTTAATATCCTGTAATGAGGAGAGAAAAGACTTAGGAGCGGTAATTTGTGAGCTGTAAGAGAAAACACTTTCATAGTTATCGATTTCTAGAGCAGACATACATTAGATGAGAATTCTTTGATTTACTTCTCAAGATCTCTCGATCTTTCCCGTAATTTAAATGGCGCGCGTAATCTAGCATTTTTCCAACTAATATGTCTAGGTAGAGACTTGCGTGCTCTAATGTATTACTTTGAGATAATGTATTTCTGATCACGTGTACAATTTAATCAAAAGCCGAAGAACTTTGAAGATAACCTCACGTCCTACCCGAATAACCGTTACAAACACTGTCTGTCTGTCTGTCAGTCGGAATAAAATAAAACTGTTTGATTAATCTTGATGACAGTTCGATGGTACCGTTTTCAAAATCATAGGTTGCCATTTGATTACAATGGTAACCAAACGAATACCTTTCTTCGGAAGAATCTAGCCGCGGGCGGTCAGTCACTTGAAATCATTTCAATTTAAACCGTACAGAACTATTATGACCATATTTAGACTCAACTAACATCCTCATAATTGGGATTGTCATGGTAACCAGCTAACTTTTCTTCACAAAATCTTGTGTAGACAATCCCCACAATATTATAATAATTAAGTAGAGTACCAAAGGAATGGGGGGGGGGGGGGTGTGTGTTTTGAAAGACCCTGATGTAAAATTTAGTGTTGAGGAGAGAACTGCTGTAACTAAGAATTTATCTAGAGACAGGTTCTGATATAATTATTAACAAATATTTTATTGAATATCAGGAAATTTTTTCACTTGTTCTATATTACAGACATGGACACTAGGTTTCATTGTAACGTTGTTACGCAAAAGGGGAGATAAAAACATTGTCAAAACAATTACAGTCATTTACAAAAAAACATTTACTTCCTTATCAAATACACGTATAGTGGAATAGAGTCCAAGAGAGAATATTGCTACAGACTCTCTGTTCAGATTTAAATCTGGGCTCGGATCAGGAGATGTCAGTGTTGCATTGAATGGTTTGATTATTTATTTAATAAAACAAAAAATTCTATTGCGTAATTTTGGGGTTACAAAAAAACTTTTGACAGTACAAGCCATCAGATTTTGTGGTAAAAACATTGGCAAAGCGATGTCAGGAGTAGACTGTTAAATGCAATTTGATTCATTTATTACAATGAACGATTATGTGTGAAATTAAGTGGTGAACTATCCACAATGTCATGGTAACAGATCGGATTATCACAAGGGATTCACGCCCATGTCCTTTTCATTGTTTGTAAATCATATGGAGAGTGAGTTTGTAAAAGTGTAAGAGATATAAATTACAGTAGATTAACTAGTTTATGTTGGTGTATGCGGACGACACGGTTCATTGTCTAAAGACATCAGCCATCTTCATTGTGCTCTAAATTATCTGCAAGCTTACACTGAAAAATGGAATTCAAGTGTTAATATTGAGAAAACTAAAATTGTTGTCTTTAGATAAAGTAAAAGAATTTGGAAATTGGACGTTCAGCGGCACATCCATTGAAATGTTTGCTAATTTGGGTTAGTTATCTATAACAACGAAAGATTAACTGCAGGTCACAATATATCGGCGTCGCAAGAAAGGCCTACTAACTTTTAAAAAGAAAAAACGAAAAGTCTGATTTAATACAGGTACACAGGTTTCCTTATTTTATACATATGTGACATGTATACTGAATCATGGATATGAAGTGTGGGGTCATAGTGTATCACCACAAATTGATAAAGTTCTATCTATTGATTTATTGAGAGTAGAGAAAACAGCCAATAATAGTTCGATGGGGGAGGGGGAGGGGGGAGGGGTATTCACTTCGTGTAATAGAAATATTAAAAGAAAAAAATATGTGTCATTAGACTATATCGATTGTGCCATGGATAGTTAGTGTTCTTAGTGGGATTTTCTGTATATTTAATGTGGTCCAGGGTAACAACTCAAATTTAGAACACTGTGACTTTGGGACATATAGGAAGGAAGAGACAGAAATTCAGCTCCGCTCCCGTCCTGTGTCTTGAAAGATAAAAACTTAAAAAGCATGTTACATATTTGGTAGGTTTTATTATTTGAAGAATGATGAACTTACACGTAATATATTTCTAGCCCAAAATGGAATATTTTGAGAGAAATTCTATTTGGAATCAATAGCTATATTTGTTGAGCATTTCAACCTCCAGTTGCCTCCCTTGGATCGTGAATTACGGCCAGCTTCTGTAAACTTGATGGATACTAGATTCATTAGGAAGGTCTGACACTGACAGATCAACTTTTCATTCTTGGGCCATATCGTCTGCCTTGGATCAGTTTTGATGCTGGTCTGAGCAGTGTCTGTTATATGAACGTAATTGATGTTACCAGTCTGTTGCTATCATTTCCCAGGCATATCAGAGGCGACAACTTCATTCTACTGTTACGGGAGATCTTTACCAAGAAAGTCTAACATCGATACTATATGTTGGATTGTGAAACAAAAATTAATCTATCAAATATATATGTAATCACGGTACTAATAAAACGAGAATAGTCCTATCACAGGAAATATTTATTCCAAAACTAATTTTGATATGAAATGAAAATAATATTGAAAACTACAATAATGCCAATGATGTAATATAATTAAAATGGAATAATATAACAGATTGAATCCTTGGTAGATAACGTAGTCATTGATCTTTATAACAAGATATGCCATCGGATTATCGGTATATTCGCGACAGAAAATCACCCCCTCTCTCTAGCTGTCTTCCTTTTTGTTTTCGTAGGAGACTGAATAGGTAATAAAATAAACAAGGGCGTTTTCCAAGTCTTCAAGACGACATATTACTTACGAAATGTTTCCAATGAATCCGAAGAAGCACTAAAAATACACCATAGATTCGTTTCAATCTTTCTCGGCGTTTCTCTAAGAATTACAATTCTTGTGTAGAGTTTGCTCGTTAACACTTCGTCCTGACTACAGTTGTCAGACGAAGAGATAAGAAATTAAATCTCATCGGGTAGTTTCATAATGTGGTTCTGGGTGATTCTGGTAGTACACTCTATATAGCCCTGGCAACTGTTTCTGACCAAGTTGACAACATTGAATTTGGCCACAGAGGCAAACATTTTGAATACTAGGACTACATATCAAAAACACTAAAAAGGAACACTTCCATCTTTGTAATGGACAAATGTACGTTCCTGGAGAGTCCAGACAGCAACCAAACGCCACGTGAAACCACATAAGACTTCTTCGTCATTTCTCCAGTAAGTTACGTTTCATCAGTTTCAAAGATCTTCCTATTGTGGGGAGATCAATGATAATCAGTCCTCCAAAGACTATGGCTAGGACGACTCCACCTACATAACCAATTATTTTTGAAGATAAGCGCATATCGGGCGCGCTGGTTTTTCGCCTGATGGTAGAGGAGAGGGTAGTCTTGTTGACGGCGAGAAGTTTCTTGAGCCGTGCGATTTCAGCCAACAATGCCTGCAGCTCGGAACTGTTTATGCTTTTATTCCAGTCGTTGAACTTGTTATAGTAACACTGTAAAGGCTTGATTGTTTCCAATTCTTCTGTTGGTACGGATGTTGTTACCGTTGTTCCTTGTGATGGGATTTCAGATGTATGTTGGTTACTAAGATGTTTAGATGTTGTCTGTTCTGATGTTGTTGAAGGATCTGTTGGTGGAGATCTTGTTGAAAGATCTGCGGGCGAACGTACTGTTGTAGAAGGTTCTAATGATGAAGGTCGTGTTGAAGGATCTGCTGGTGGAGATCTTGTTGTAGAAGGTTCTAATGATGAAGGTCGTGTTATTGAAGGATCTGATGATGGCGGTCCTGTTGTAGAAGGTTCTGACGGTGGAGGCCCTGTTGTTGAAGGATCTGATGATGGAGGTCCTGTTGTTGAAGGATCTAATAGTGGAGGTCCTGTTGTAGAAGGTTCTAATGATGAATGTCGTGTTGTTGAAGGATCTGATGATGGCGGTCCTGTTGTTGAAGGATCTGATGGTGGAGGTCCTGTTGTTAAAGGATCTGATGGTGGTGGAGGTGACGGTGGAGGCCCTGTTGTTGAAGGATCTGATGATGGAGGTCCTGTTGTTGAAGGATCTAATAGTGGAGGTCCTGTTGTAGAAGGTTCTAATGATGAATGTCGTGTTGTTGAAGGATCTGATGATGGAGGTCCTGTTGTTGAAGGATCTGATGGTGGAGGTCCTGTTGTTAAAGGATCTGATGGTGGAGGTTCTGTTGTTGAAGGATCTGATGGTGGAGGTCCTGTTGTTAAAGGATCTGATGGTGGAGGTTCTGTTGCTGAAGGATCTGATGGTGGAGGATCGGATATCATTAACTGCTACTTAAATACTAACATGATATCATTAAATGTTACTTAAATACTAACATAGCATCATTTATTGTTACTTAATACTAACATGATATCATTTAATGTTACTTAAATACTAACATGATATCATTTAGTGTTACTTAAATACTAACTATGATATCATTAAGTGTTACTTAAATACTAACATGATATCATTTGTTACTTAAATACTAGCATGATATCATTTAATGTTACTTAAATACTAACATGATATCATTTAGTGTTACTTAAATACTAACATGATATAATTTGTTACTTAAATACTAACATGATATAATTTGTTACTTAAATACTAACCATGATATCATTTAGTGTTACTTAAATACTAACATGATATCATTTTTGTTACTTAAATACTAACATGATATCATTTAGTGTTACTTAAATACTAAACATGATATCATTTATTGTTACTTAAATATAAACATGATATCATTTAGTGTTACTTAAATACTAAACATGATATCATTTAGTGTTACTTAAATACTACATGATATCATTTAGTGTTACTTAAATACTAACATGATATCATTTAGTGTTACTTAAATACTAACATGATATCATTTAGTGTTACTTAAATACTAACATGATATCATTTAGTGTTACTTAAATACTCTCCATGATATCATTTAGTGTTACTTAAATACTAACATGATATCATTTAGTGTTACTTAAATACTCTCCATGATATCATTTAGTGTTACTTAAATACTAACATATCATTTAGTGTTACTTAAATACTAACATGATATCATTTAGTGTTACTTAAATACTAACATGATATCATTTAGTGTTACTTAAATAATGATACATTTAGTGTTACTCCATGATATCATTTAGTGTTACTTAAATACTAACATGATATCATTTAGTGTTACTTAAATACTCTCCATGACATCATTTAGTGTTACTTAAATACTCTCCATGATATCTTTTACTGTTACTTAAATACTAACATGATAACATTTATTGTTACTTAAATACTAAACATGATATCATTTAGTGTTACTTAAATACTATCCATGACATCATTTAGTGTTACTTAAATACTAACATGATATCATTTAGTGTTACTTAAATACTAAACATGATATCATTTAGTGTTACTTAAATACTAAACATGATATCATTTAGTTTTAATTAAATACTAAACATGACATCATTTATTGTTACTTAAATACTCTCCATGATATCATTTAGTGTTACTTAAATACTAAACATGATATCATTTATTGTTACTTAAATACTTAAATAAACATGATATCATTTATTGTTACTTAAATACTCTCCATGACATCATTTAGTGTTACTTAAATACTAACATGATATCATTTAGTGTTACTTAAATACTGAACATGACATCATTTAGTGTTACTTAAATACTAAACATGATATCATTTAGTGTTACTTAAATACTAACATGATATCATTTATTGTTACTTAAATACTCTCCATGATATCATTTAGTGTTACTTAAATACTAACATGATATCATTTAGTGTTACTTAAATACTAACATGATATCATTTAGTGTTACTTAAATACTCTCCATGATATCATTTAGTGTTACTTAAATACTAAACATGATATCATTTATTGTTACTTAAATACTAAACATGATCTCCATGATATCATTTATTGTTACTTAAATACTTAACATGATATCATTTATTGTTACTTAAATACTGAACATGACATCATTTAGTGTTACTTAAATACTAAACATGATATCATTTAGTGTTACTTAAATACTAACATGATATCATTTAGTGTTACTTAAATACTAACATGATATCATGATATATTTAGTGTTACTTAAATACTCTCCATGATATCATTTAGTGTTACTTAAATACTAACATGATATCATTTAGTGTTACTTAAATACTAACATGATATCAGTGTTACTTAAATACTAACAGTGATTACTTAAATACTCTCCATGATATCATTTAGTGTTACTTAAATACTAACATGATATCATTTAGTGTTACTTAAATACTCTCCATGACATCATTTAGTGTTACTTAAATACTAACATGATATCATTTAGTGTTACTTAAATACTCTCCATGACATCATTTAGTGTTACTTAAATACTAACATGATATCATTTAGTGTTACTTAAATAACTATGATATCTCCATAAATACATGATATCATTTAGTGTTACTTAAATACTAACATGATATCATTTAGTGTTACTTAAATACTCTCCATGACATCATTTAGTGTTACTTAAATACTAACATGATATCATTTAGTGTTACTTAAATGCTAACTATGATATCATTTGTTACTTAAATACTAGCATGATATCATTTAGTGCTACTTAAATACTCTCCATGATATCATTTAGTGTTACTTAAATACTAACATGATATCATTTAGTGTTACTTAAATACTAACATGATATCATTTAGTGTTACTTAAATACTCTCCATGATATCATTTAGTGTTACTTAAATACTAACATGATATCATTTAGTGTTACTTAAATACTCTCCATGACATCATTTAGTGTTACTTAAATACTAACATGATATCATTTAGTGTTACTTAAATACTAAACATGACATCATTTAGTGTTACTTAAATACTCTTCATGACATTATGAAAAAAATATTTATTACATAGTATCGTTCATTTATTGTGTATAATATTTACCATATTCATCAATGAAATTATAGATAATACTTCTCCTTGCGTCGTCCCAATTTTCGATAATTATATAATATTGATTATAACGATATTGTATATTATTCTACTATTTATCATCTCAGTTTTCGATAATAAATAAATGATATTGATTATAATTCTATTGTTGATAATGCTTCAATACTTATGATAATTTTCGATAATTATTATATGATAAGAATTATAACAATGTTGCAAGTAATATCAAAATACTTATATAATCTCAATTTTCGGTGATAATTATACTATTGACTATAATGCTAAGGGTTATAATTAGTATCGAACTTACCGTACAACCCTTTGATCTTTATGAATGACGCTATGTTGAAGGCGCCCTCTATAACAGAAACGATAAACAATATGTCTATTGAATATGATATTTATCTAACTTTTTTAAAGATATTTTTACGAAAAGCTTATTTTCATATGCTATATAAAATGAAACAAAGACATTAAAATTCTACAATCAGTTATTTTATCGTCACAGACGCTCTAAAGTTTCCCAAGTAGTATATAAAAATGATGCAGAATGTCAAGCGACAAATTAACTCACCAACTTCGAGAAAAGTGATGTTTGCGCTGGCATCCTTTCCATCGAATGCATTGTATACATGTAGAGTCATATTTCGAGGGCAAACAACGCTCTCAAAATTGACGGAGAGTGATTGGCTATATACGGTGGCATCAAACTATGCAACAAAATGGGACAAGATTGTGAAACGACATTTGTACACTGTAAGTTAAAATACCTATCCCATCTCTTTTACTGAAAAAAGCCCCCCCCCCCCCCCCCAAAAAAAAAAAAAAACAAAAAACAAAAAATCAATAAATAAAATTTTTTAACCCTGTAATTCAGGTAAATAATGGCTCCAATACCTGTATACCACTCGGCTAAATGTAACTACATATGTATTCATTATGTCTAATATGTAGAAACCTTTCGATGCCCCCGCCATGAAATAGGGGAGGGAGGTTGGCATATAGTGTTACTGTTTGGAGACAACCACGTTAAATTCAGTATTTAACATATGGGGCTACAGATCGAGTCAGATTCCCGGGCACGAAAACCCATCCTTAGCGTTATTACCATTAGCATTTAGAATATTGAGCAAGATGTTTGTTTCCGGACTCCGTTTGTTCGGAGATATTGGCCTCCTATTTGTTGTTTGGCTTCAGATAAAGGTGTTACGCGTTTTATTTGTTCGAGGTCTGAATCCGGAATGAAAAATTCAATTTAAATGGAGAAAATGCCCTTTTGCCTCATGTTAAGAGATGATGACATTACGGGGTTTTATCATGATGATAATCTTTGGCCTATGTTAGTAGTTTACATCTGTGTAAAACCCTTGTCAGTATGCGAGGGAGTCACGGGGCGTTCATGTCGTAGTATTCAAGTCCTAATACTAACGCATTGTCATTATTCTCTATAGGATCAACAACGAATGTTTAGTATCTGTTAAGATATGAGCTTGATTCGACATTGCAAGTTGCTGGTGTTCCGGGACCAGGTGAAATCAGGCTGGTTGAGAGAAACAAGAAATTTGCCCATACCGATGAAATATAGCGATACAAAGTAGATAAATATTTTCTACAATTGCAAAACATAGCTACGCTCTTGCAAATGGCTTAATGGATATAAATCCTTACCAATTTGAAGACAATGAATTTCGTGTACTCATTTTAAACGCGTTCAGTAACAAACTTAGTCCACATCTCGCCACGTATGGATGCTTATATATTTACTGGACCTATCTTCCCTCACCTCTAGCTTGATCACCTGGATGGACGCACTCAATGCAGGTGCGTTTTAGCTTTGTAAATCCGCTCTAGTTCTCAGACTTTAATAAATGATCAACACAAGCGACTTCTTCTTAAGACCAAACAATAATCAGACATATCTAAACATATTCAAGAATTTAAACATTCAACATTTAAACGAATAAAAACAGACATATACTGATTTAATTATGTATTAAGTGGATCTCCGAGTCTTATAAAGGGGCATAACCGATATTTATGGTGGATATTGAGACGTATGTATCTTGTACACTAGCTTTGTGCTGTGGACGAATGTAGGCACTAAGTTACGTGTGCTATATTTCGATAATTTTCAACAGCGTTCAATACCGACATATTGCAAACGAAAATGCATCCCAACTTAAGGGCCCTTGAGGGTCTATACATGTTCCATATAGCATTCACCTACCAACATTTACATTTACCAATAGCTGGCCTCGATATCCCTTTGAAACCTATAATCATTCCATTTTGCCCAGGACCTTGTTGTAAGAATTATCATCGTTATTCACTTTG